GAAAGTGAATTTATTTATGTGCTAAATTCCAAACAGACTTGTTTTCTTTTTCTATGAGCACAAATACTGTGCTGTCCATGCATGTTACAAAAACAATAGGGTACAGAATTAAGAATATTGCTATTCTAAATTTGTGAGTGTGTGTCTGTTTATGTTTAACCAGTCTTTACTGAATCTGACTCTTTAGAATGCTTCAAAAAAACAAACCAGTTTTATTCAGTTCAAACAATAGGAGTGTAATTACATATTCTCTGGTTTTGAATACTAAATATTTGTCCAAATGTTGCTTTGAATTCATCAAAATACAAAAGCACTAGTAGCAATGTTGCTGATGTGTAATAGTGTATTCTTTACAGTACTAAAGAGTTCTGAATTGAATCCTAATAAGCCTAGCAAAAGCAAATGGTCCTAATATAAATGGCAGCACTCAAAGCAGATCCAAGTTCCTGCCTATCACTTGGGGGTTTTTTGTTCAAACTCATTTTTTAGACTGTTGCCTAGTCATCTTTAATTTATCTCAGCTTACTGGTCTGAAGTGAACTGTGATGCTATAAAGTAAAAATGTATTCCTTTTCACAGAATAAAAGATATTTATAGTTTTGAAAGAGAAGGACAGCATGTCATTGTTACTGCATCCAGTGATGGTTACATTAAAATGTGGAATCTGGATCTTGATAAGGTTGGTATATTTACACTGCTTGTTACATTTAAGAAAATCAACAGAGAACCAGAATTGCAGACAGTCCTCTTGTAAGAGTTTGTTTTAAATCATTGAGGAAATTATATGTGAAATATGGATGTCTTGATCTTCTTCCATGTTAAGTTCAGTAGACATGTATGTCTATGCACATATATTTATGCACTCATATTTTTTTCATCTTTGTACCTTTTTTTTAACAAACTATAAAATCTGATGATATTATGATAATTCATCTCCACTTTTTGTAAAGTCATGCTTCCCATCAGACCTAGCCAGGCTTATAACTATCTTATCAGTTATGTATGTTATGACTATGTAATTAGTTAAGGACTGCTATGAATTTCTGTAATGTTGAGGACTGTTGCTACTCTTCTGAAAGCACAAAGTCTGTGGTTTGGGCAAGGGAAGGTGGTTGTTCATGTCAGGGGAGGAACTTGTCCTTTGGAAAAATACATAAATGTACTGAGTACTTGTATTTCATGTATTTTCATGTATTTCAGTTCTGAGTAACACAGTCCAACAAGGAATCATGTCTTACCTTTAAAGTTTATTGTGTTTATTGTTTGCTCTTAAAACCAGAAATAGATTTTTACAATTTATTGCCCAGTTACAAAGGATCTGCTGTATTTTATTATAAGTATCTTGGATAGTTCAAATAATTATTTCTCAACATCTCTACACTTCAAATCTGAATTTGCCTGTTTTTAATTTCACCCACTCTGATTATTTTTATACTTGTAGGTGCAGTAGTGATCTCCCTCTTTCCTCTTCACCTTACATTTCTGTTTCCCTTGTACAGAATTGACAGAGTGATGTTTACCTTTCTGTGTAACATTGTATTTATTTTGACCAAATTCCTTTCCCTGTAGGCAAAGTTTTGCATAACTGTGTGGGCTGCTCTGTGCAGCTGTGAGGGGTAGAATATCCTAATACAGTAGTTTCCAGTGGGTTGATGCTGTTAACACTGTCCATGTGTCTGTGACACTTTATCCCCTGATATCTGTAATAGAATATTTGTATTCCAAAAGCTGAGTGATACAATTGCCTAACAATGAAAGTGGGCAGTAAGGTGCTTTCTCACTCCAAATACTTCATTAAATTTAACAAGAAATAAAATAAGGTTTAAGTGATCTTCTTTTATGTTTTCTTCAGATTAGAGATGGGCCATCTTTACTGTGTGAAGTCAATACCAAAGCTAGGCTGACGTGTCTTGCAGTATGGCTTGACCAAGCTTCAGAAAAGAAAGAAAACTCTGATAAAACTGCAACATCATGTCAAGGTAACAGAACTTTGTATTTTGAATTGTTAATGTGACTGTGAAATGGAATACACCAAGTGGGAGGCTTCTCCTATATCCATTGGAAAATGTTCTGGTATTTTGAAGAAGTGAGGATATGATGCTGGCAAGCGATACAGATACACTTACCAATCTGATAGTGTCTCAAGCCCGCATGTTTGTTGGAAAACATAAGCCTCTTTTCACTTTTATTAAAGTTCTCTTTCTGTTTACTGTAATAACATACTGAGGAAGCCACTGCAAAGCTTTTGAGACAGATAAGAAAACAAACAGTTGATTGTACTGCTTGCCTTGTTTTCCTATAAGCAAAATTAGGCATGAGGTCACTGTAGCGGGGCAAACTTAAGAAGTCTAGCTCACATTTGTTTGGGTTTTCTGCTGTTATTTTCCTGAATTGTAATCTATTTACATACTTGATCTTTATGTATTTTAATTTCACAAGCAAAACTAGCATAAATGGCACTTTCCACTGTAAAATAAAAAGCTATTTATAACCATTTTTTTAAAATGAGATACAGTAAGTCTCTGTGCCATTTAGACTACAAAGACTGGACAAAAAGGTCAGTGTGAATAATTCCTTGCTTTTTTTTCAGAAACAGAAGATGAAAAATCATCAATAGCCAAGATAAACAAAGATTTTTGGACTACTAAAAGGGTTAAAATAGCAAAAAGAAAGAGAAAAATTATTCCAGATAAACAAAAGCTGGAAGCTCCAGTGCAAAAGAAGAAAAAGAAAAAGACACAGAATAGTTCAGCATGAAGGCAGCTACTTTCTCTCCTGTATAAAAAGTAAATGCTGGTGTTGCCCTAGTTTTTATAAGAATCTACACCCTAACTGGACGTATACCTCTGATCCAATGTATTGTTTAAAAGGAATTAATGTTCTTACCCTAATAAACTGACTGATCATTCTGGGAACTTTCCCTAAGTGAACAAAGCAAAAATAAATTCATAATATGTAATGTTTATATTTTTCTATTAACAATACCGTACACTTTTTAACTGGCTCTGAAAAAGCCAGCTAAGATAATAAAAATAGCTGCATCTGTCTCAGTTACTTTTGTTTCACTTAAATACATATTAAAAACATGTACACTTTTAGTGTTGAAAATGTTACTATTAATTTAACTCAAGGTATAGTCTGCCTTTGTCTTGCATTTCTTTTCCTACTGTAAGAAAGAACATGTTAAAGTTATTTAAAATATGATGATCACATCCCATTCTTACACTTATGGAAAACTGTAATTTTTAATTTTTGACATGGACTTATACATGGACTTTATAAGCACAATGTTTGGCTTTTTTTACTGTGTTCATACTTAAATATATTTAATTTTTAAAAAAATCTTTGTACCATGGTTCACATCACTAAAACATTTCATTCAGAATATGATACATAATTTTAGGCAGGAGAGTTTATATCAATAAGGTTTTACCTTTTCTTCCCCCTTCCCAATGTGTTTTTTCAAGTCCTTGATCTGAGCCATTTTGTTAAAAAAAGAATTATATAACATCTGAAATTTTTGCCATGTTGATTAAATGTCACCTCTTTTGTTTGCACTTAAACAAAAAGTAAATTCTGACCTTCTCAGTCCATGGGAACAGGAATTCATCCTAAGCCTTATTTCAAATATACAGTGGGAAAAACAAAGTTGAACAAGATCAAAGAGGTGAACTAAATGTTTCCCTTCTTTATTTTAAGGTGTAAGGCATGTTAATGTTTTGTTCTGCACTACTGGAGTAGTCATTACTATTTCTGTTTTCAAAGAGTAATTGGAATTATGCTTTGTTCTGATTCACTTCATCCATTCCTCCTTATTTGTGTAGCAAGAGAAAAAGTAGAGAAAAAAGATTGAGCCAAATCTGGAGACAGGAATGCAGGCTAGTTTAGTGATATAAAACAGGATCTAATTCCAGTTCAGCTCTATGCTCTGACACTGAAACAAAATGAGCATCATCAGTGCTGTTACAGAATTGTTCATGTGGCAGTAGCAGTATTCTCTTGGAAGTGGGGATCCATATTTACCTTCTGTAACTGTTTTCCTTACTTAGATAAACAATCAGAGCCCCTTGTTTGGATATTCAATATAGTTGATTTATGCAAGTTCAGTTTAATTCAACATTAAAGGTATTAATTTTGAGCTTACACAGCTTTTAATTTTAATGATACCCTAAATGTTTGTGTTCCCAAACACATGCAAATAAATATAGGACTTCAAATGGTTTGTTGACTTGACAGAATGGTGCCATAAAGGTGCCGGATTTTTAATTCCTAAGGCTTCTACAGTAAATGTAAGAATTAAAAGGCATAAGATTAAATAAGGGAATTGTGTACAGTGATTTCACTTGTAAAAGTCTTTTGTCTATTTGATAGTGCTTATCTTATGTCCTTGACAAAATGTCTGCCACTACTAAAGCAGTTTTTATTGTTTGAATTTTTAAATACATGAGCTCATGGACACAGTCATCACAATTGCAGAAGCAGGTTTGCAGAAGCACTAGGAAAAAAATCCAGTCTGCATGTAATTTTAAGATTAAAAAGCAAAATTTCCACAGAATTTGGATTCTAAAGTTTGGACTTAGAAGTAAATATTACACATTTGTAAAAATCCCAACCCCCTGTGTAGTAACAAAGAATTATGCATCTCATGAGACTCAGAACAATTCGTGAACTGGAGACAGAGAAGAACAGTCCTTAGGCGAAAACCCTTTTTTTTTTTTTACCTTCAGTGAATACTCTACTACTAATGAGTACTTGGCAATTTGTTGTGGTTGCATCTTTGTGTACATCTTCCTTTTCAGCACATTTTCCATTCTAGTTTTCAGGGAACTGCTTAGAATGGTAGAGGGGAGGCAGCAGTGCAGAGGAGATGTCAGCAGTGACAAAGCTGTCCCTGTCAGAAGGGGTGGGTGTGCATGACACTGGGAGAGGAGATGGAGCCATAGCTGCAAGGAACAACACCTCAGGGAGCAGCATCTCACCTGAGCCCCAGGTGAGTTCAACAGCTCCAGCTGCTGTGGATTTCTTCCAGTTCTCTGCTTCCCCTCTTGGGGAATCCCTGTGCTGGATCACGAAGCAGAGCCCAGTGAAGCTTGAACATCATAGCTATTACATAGCTTGAATTAAATGGAAATACCATCCACTACAGCTTAGATAGGTGTTAGTTGTGGCACTTTGCATGGAGGAAGGAGATTCCTACTGAGAAACCACTGAGGCCAAGAAAGGAATTAAAGTGCTCCCCACTTTCTGACCATTATGCTAATTCATAAAGATGGCAAAATCTGAAATGCAGCTACAGAAAGCTGCGTTTTGCAGAAAGTACAGGCCTCTCATGTTTGATGCCTTCTATTATGAAGAGGAATCAAAGCCCTTCAGTTTAGGGATCTGGCTACAGGAGTACTTTTTCTTTCTATATGGTGAAACACCCATGAGAAGGAGGTGCATGGGCAATTGGAGTAATATCATGGAGGACTATTTATATGAAGAAAATCCATTTCAGCACTCAGAAAAGAGAAAGAGTTCAGCTTAGTGGGGAGTTATAAGCATCTCTACATTTTTCCAGACTAAAAAAAAAAAAGCCAAACATTTTCTTTACAAAGTGTTTCCATCTCCCACTGTTGAATAACTTTTACAGGAGAAGGCTGCTTTTCCTGGTGTAGTAGTCTGTAATTTGGAGGTCCTAGTGTTCCGTACAAGGACTACACTGAAATTATTGCTGAAAGCTGAAAGCTGTAGGCTGCCAGAGTTGTAGCTCGTGCTACACCAAAACCCAATCCCAAACTCTCAGCTGTGCCACGTAACCCCACTTCTGGATGAGGACCGGGATGGATTAGGTGCACACGACTGCAGTTCCGCAGGAGCTTTGCCCCTCACTGAACATGAGCACAAAACCTGGTTTGTCTGAGCCATCTGCAGGCACCAGGGCTTGCTCGGGCATCGCCGACAGCCGCCTCCCGCCGTGCGGGGGATTCCCGGGAGCTCTGCAGCTAGATGGAAAGGCACAGCGCCTCGTCCTCCGCAACCCCTGGCTGAGAGCCTCACCCTGCCCTGCCTCTTGGGTGAGCTTTCGCTTGTTTTTCGTGCTCGGAGCGCTTCTTTCCTTCCCGAGAACAGCCGGAAAAGGGAAGCTTTGGGCGGTGCGTGGCTGCCCGCCTCCCCTTCCGCCGCCTGCTCCGCCCCGGTTGCTGCGGAGCGGGGCAGCGCCAGCTGGGACCCGCCGTGTCCCTGTGCCCCCGGGCTGCCTTCCCGGCAAAGCCGCTGCGTCTCTTGGGCTCGCCAGGGGCCTAGGCTTTAGGCAGGTCTTGCTTGTGGAAAAGCCCGCCATGGCAAAATGCTTTGCTTTTAAAATTTTTCCTCCCTTGAAAAAGGTTCAGAGATGCTGATCTTCACCCCAATTTTCTCTTCCAGTTTTCGGCATGGCAGTGGACTGGCTCGGCTTTGGCTACGCCGCCCTGGTGGCGTCAGGAGGGATCATTGGCTATGCCAAAGCAGGTAGGGTGGGTGCTGAAAGGTGCTTCCATCTCCCTCCCTCTTCCCCCACACCCCCTCCTCCCTCTCCCCAGTAACTTGGTGTGAGCTGGGCAGCTTTTTACGAAAGCCTCCTATCTCGAAGTTGACCCATATGTAAATTTTATCGGTTTGTGCCATGTGCTGATAACTTGCTGCTGGTGGGGTGTGCTGGATTTTGAGTTGAGCTGGTGCTTTGGGCTGATAAGGCCATAATCTGCTTTCTGGTGCATGCTGATATCTGCCTGTGCTCTTTGGGTGAACTGTCATAAGTTTGCTTCAGAAGGGCTTTTTTCCTTGCTCTTTAAAATACAAGCATTCTGTAAGCGTTCTGTATCTTCAAGTGACATAAATCACCACTTTTCCTCCTTAAGAGATTTATTCCCATTTTAATCTTTGCTGATAACAGTATACTGCAAGCTGCAGAGAGCTTTCAGAACTATCTTTTCTCCAAGTAGAGCTGAACAGCACAAATCAGTCCTTAAACTTGTTTCTGTTCTGGGCTCTGCATCATAAGCTTACCCTCTGACCTACTGCTTTCATTTCCTGTCCTTTTTCTGAGTTCACCCTCCTCCAGACAGAACTGTGGATTCATTCCTGCTGCAACACTGTCTCTTTCACCTTTGAAAATCCCTAAGCCGTCTTGGTTTTTATGATAGGAAGGGGCATTGCTGAAGTCAGTAAGACTCTTCTAGATAGATGCTTGTGCCTATTCCAGTCTGTTTTCCATTGGCTTGGATTTATCCTTTGGGTTATGAGTGGAGTTTAGGACAGAAGGGATAATACTGGGAACTTAAGTAACTAATTGCATCTGTATTTCTCCAAGGCCATTGTGAAATGATGGGTGTCTTTCTTGTCCTCTGGAACCGAGTTGGGAGGACATGGTTATGCTCAGGCAAGGGAATTCAGGTCACAGGATTATTGAAGGGGAACAGAAACTCATGTGGTAACTGCTGGAGAGAATTAAAAAAAACAAGCATACAGAGGAGCCATTGTATGCTTACTAATAACTTGGAGAAACCAAAAGAAAACGTAACTTTCATGAGTAGAACTAAGTTGTCTGATCTGATCTGTTCTTTTACAACCCGATCTGTCTACCCATACAGACAGGGGGCAGTAGTTGGTGCCTTTGGAACAGTATGAGAACATGGCAATCAGAGAGTGAGTGAGTGAGTGAATAGTGGGTGATTTATTGATTCATTGATTGATTTTTCTGTCTTCACTTAGCAAGTGCTCTGGGTCCCTGTGTTTTGAGATGTAGGAACTTCTTGAGCCAGAGGTGATGTGGTTGTGCTATAAGTGTATGTGTCATATCTGCTTAAACAATGCCTTGAGGTAAAATTCAAGGAAATGATGGATGTTTCTTGGCTCCCAGGCTTGTGGAAAGCATTGTAGCTACCACAGATTTGTTCTAAACTTATGTTCTGTGCAAAGCAGCCACCTAGTAGAGTGTGTACCTTTTTCCTTGCACATGTACATCAGGTGCTTTCTGTCATCTTTGTCTCTTGTTTTTTATACCAAAAGCAGGATACAAAGCAATATTACAGCAACCTTGTTGATGATTGAAATGATTACTTTCTGGAAGCAATGTGCAGTCCTCTCCAGAGAGGAGATCTTTATCAGCTTAGCTTTTCAATCTCAAGTCTTTGGAAGGTGACCTCAGAAATGGAATGTATAAAGAACCACCTTCAGTAGCATTGACCTTAATTCTCCATTTGCCTTATGGAGGGCATTCACCACTCACAGTGATCATGCTAATTCATTACTTGATATATTCTATAAATCACCAATTTAGGTGTGGTATCCTTTATTTTCTGGAAGCTTGGGATGATCATTTATACTGAGGACTTGATTCAAAGTTTAGTTTCAGGGAACCTTCTTGCAAAGTCTGCAGCTACCTTTGGCTCAAATCTCAGGTGTACTTAAGAGATAGGACCTCTCTAGTTCAACTACGCCCTGCTCCTTGGCAATTCTTTGAATGCCCTCCTGCCCAATTCCACTCACGTGTCCTTTTTCTGATCTTAAATCCTTACAATTTAGTCCTACTATTTTACTGCCTCTCAAGGAATTTTCATAATACTGTTTTGAAGTAACATGCTTCAGTTTGTGCAAGGAAAACACCAATTCTTTTGTTGTTCTCATTATTCTTTCATGAATGCGCTAATGCCTTTTCTGTTAGAGAACTCAATACTAATTCTGTATGTATCTTATGCAAGAGTAATTGAAGTGTTTCTTGGTGCTGATCATCATGGTCCCAATATCTGAAAACCCCCCTTCTCTAATCTTCTTTATGTCAATGAATGATGAATACCCTTTTTTTTATTTCTATAATTTTTGGTGTTTTACAAAACAGTTAAGCTGCTGACCAGGATAATCTTCAAGTTTCTAAGCATGCATTATCTTCTATTTATTCAGGTAGTGTTCCATCACTAGCTGCTGGCCTTTTCTTTGGGAGTCTGGCTGGACTGGGTGCTTATCAGGTCTCACAGAATCCAAATAACATTTGGGTTTCCCTGAGTAAGTAATGAAAAATTTTATTTGAAAAGGATTATATTTACCCTATATATTTAAAATGAGTACCTAAAAGTCTTTGCAGAAGAGTTAAACACAGATTATGCTACAAATCTAACTTCAGTGCTTTCTAAACTTTACTGAACTGGTGACTGCCAACATGCATCTGTCTCATACTGATGTGTCTGAAGGATCATAATGCAAGGGAAGTGTGAATAAATGGATTTCTGATATTTTTGGCTGGATCCTTGTACTTTGAGCATCCCACAGGAGGCTGTAACATTTTGGGAAGTGGGATTTCTTCTTCAGACTGACCATACCCCTATCAGACTATTTTATTATCACAGAAAATGGCAGAGATTGTGATTGGCTTATTTGTATAAATGACAAATATGTGAAATTGCAAAGGTGTTGATGCCTGGGGAGATCTAAGAGAGAATCAAGCTTCAGTAATGCTGTTTCTTCCTTCTCAAAACTGGAGCTTCCCTTGCCCCCGATTTGAGAAGGTAACTGTGGAGAGTTACTGCTTAGTCAGTGTTTAAAGAGCCACCACTGACTACAGCATTTTTTCTCTGGAGCAGTGACAGAGCATCTGCCTCTTTGACACGTGAAAGTCAGAAGTGAAAGGGGAAGGCCCAGCATTTCTCTCCACTTCAGCTTTGTTTACAGGCAGTCCTCTTCCACACCTACTGGCCAGGCCAAAAGCTGTGCATGGTCAAGCCTTAATAATTTAATAAACTGCTGATACAGCAAGCTTAAGAAGTGTGAGATGAAGTGTTTTCCCAAATGTGAGAGACAGATGCATTTCTGTAGCTCAGTAGCATATGGAGTATTTTCCTGTTCATGCTTTAAAGTTTTTGGAGAAGATGTGTACTGCTGCTGTTTGAAACAAAATTTCATTGTGAGGTGTGCATATTCTGAAGACAGGCTACTAATTAGAGCTTAGAGCATTTTAATACTGAAATATTTTTGTTTTATTGTGTGTTAGACTATGGTCCCAGTCTCTTACATATCTCATTATGTGAGATTAATAGATGTCAGTGACAATACTTTGGCTGGTGTTAGGGAGGAAGGATGTCATGGCTAGGACTGAAGATGAACTGGATCCTGCAGGACCAGTCATCACATAGAAGCAATGGTAGGGGATAAGAGTTGGAACAACAAGTATGTAGCTGTTACCACTGGGTAGCAGGTGCCTACTAAGGATGAGGATTTCATCAGTGTATGTTTTTCTTATATTTTTTAGCATTCAGTATTTATTTGAGATACCATGTTCAGGGACTGTCCTTTCTGTCTTACTGAGGCAGTGAAACTACCGGGCTTCTGTCTCTGTGTCAAGTGGTCAGGACAATTAACTCTCACCTTGGTAATGCTTAGCACACTTCCCTTTTGAAGTAATTTGAAAACAAATTAGTTAATTCTCAGAACATTACTACAAGTTAAACATGATGCTACATGTTACACATGGTTGCTACAAGTTAGACAAATGCTCTCTCCCTTTTTTGAGAAGTGAGGGAATTGTGTGCACAAGTTTAGTGATTTGCCTGTGTGGAGAAGGAGTGAGTTCTAGAGCACTGTATCATAAATTATTTCCAGTCTCAAAAAGAACACATTTTGAAAAACAAATTTGAGAAGTATGTGCAGAAGCATATGGAGAGCACTGTCTGCTAGAACTTGATATAGAATACTTACTATTTACAAACGGAAGCATTTTAAAATCTGCACAATTTATTGATTCTCGCAGTCTGTTAAGTGCAGTAACACTGTTTCTCTTTTTACTTGATGCTGCTACTTCTCTCTGTTCTGTTGGTTTTTAATTATGTTACTCCCACACACGCATCTCTGCTGACTGGACTGTACAATCTCTCATTTAAGTTACATCTGGAGCACTGACTGCTGTCATGGGAACAAGATTTTACCACTCCAGAAAATTCATGCCTGCAGGGCTAATTGCTGGTGTCAGGTACAATCCTTTTCTTTAACCTCCTGTGTGTGATTTCTTATTCGCTTAATTAAACTGAGATGGAGTGAATCATATTTTGTGTATTACTTTTTTTCCCATGTATCACTTGGATGAAGTATCTGAAAATGAATTGACAAATTGTTGTTGTAACTGTTAAATTATATGTTTTTCCCCTTATACAGTTTGCTAATGGTTGGAAGATTAGCACTGAAGATGTTGGAAAAGCCCCAGGAAAAGTAACTGTTAATTTTACATCTTAGTATTTGGAAAAGGAAACCTGATCATGAAATTGCATGAATGCAGAAGTGAGAAGATGGAAAAATTTTCTGCATCAAGACATTTTTTAATCTGTTTTTGTAAGTGGGAGTACAATGATGGGACAGATAGTTATTATACGAGGTAGAGCTGTTTGTGTATAGAGAGAAATGGGTCCTGGCTTTGATTTTTCTGGTATGTTTCAATGTATTTTAACATTTCCATGTTTTTATATTCCAAAATATACTTCTGACATGTATGAAGCAGATAGAAAATATCCTGTAATTAAGAAAATATCTACAAAGAGGCACCAGGAGTAACTGGCTAAATACAGTAGTGTGTCTCAAACCTTTTACACTGAGTATTATGGTGTGCTTTACCTGTTGCATTCTGAATTTATATACCATGTCTTTATAATGTCCAACAGATCTTGCTTTTTTATTGTGAAATGATGCTTTTCTATAAGTAAAATTTGTTACAAACCTTTACATGGCCTTTTTTTTTTTTTTTACAATTTCTGTGTTTGGGGACAGGGCTATTTTTTTCACCTTGTTTTCTCAGTGGAAGTCTTTGCAGTGGACTGTTAGTTTCCAAGTGCTGTCTTTCAATGATATTTAAAAATCACTTTATAAATGGAAGAACAGGAGATTAAATTATGGGCCTTCATTAACATTTAAGAAGTTGTTTGAAAGGAACTTACCCTGAGGATTAATTAAATGAGATTTGTGCTAGGCTAAATGGACAGCTGAATGTGATCTAGGCTGTATAACTGGAGTAAAATACCCTAACACTGTGTAATTCTGATCTTACAGACTTATTTGACAATAGAATGTATCATCATTTTATTTTTATCTCTTAGGAGAGTGACTGTGCCTCTTCAAATGTGTCTTTACTAGGAAACCCTGGAGTCAGAAGGGTTCCTTGTTGCTGTGATGCCTGGAGACTGAAGTGTGGAAGAGGCATCAGTGGCATCTGGTGCTTTTGTTGTCACTCCATCCTTGATTGCTTCTCCTGTACTGAGTCTTGCAGTTTTTTTAGTGCAGGCACAGCTCACATGGGCTTAGCACTGTCATGGAAGGGAGAAGCAAGAAATGTGTGAAAGAAAATCCTTCATCAGCTTATTCTTTAGTGATACATAATTATTGATAAATTAGGATTCTTACCAAGTGTAACTCTATTTTAAAGTGATATTTTTTGTAGTGACTATTTAGGATTTTACTTTGGGACCTTTGTACCACTGATTATATCAGAACCTTGTCAACTGCTTAACATGATAATGGCAAAGCAGGTTTAAATTAACTTACATATTACACACTTTCCATTTTGTAGTGTTTAAAGGAATTGATAAAAAATGTCTCAGAATGCATAAAGCAGATACCAAACTACGTAATTTCTCCATTTTTCTGGCCACTTCAATGCTTGTATTTCCTTTTCTGGAAATGGCATTTAGTAGTATTGAGTCAGAGTGACATTTCTACTGTTGTGAGTCAATGGTTACCCATATGGTAGTAGACAGGAAGCTATTGTAATAGAAAGTAGTAATTACAAACAGATCTTTTGATGTTGGGCCAGTTGTGCTGTGTCTTATCAATTCTCTTAGCAAAAGTTATAAAATTAATTCCAGGTTTTTGAATACATTTCATATTGTAACCTCTCTTGTTTCCAGGCATCTAATCTCTGAAAAACCTGATCTGTACAGGATGAATCTCCAGGGAGCAACACTGCAAACATGTTAAAGCATGTCTGAAATTCTAGTCTCAGTTAAATCATAGTCTCTTTTGACTGTACTTTAAGCAAAATCTAACAGAAGTTTTATAATTACCTTTTTATGTATTTAAATCACCCCATGTAATTGAATAGAAAATTCCATCATTGATACAGAATTTTTTACAGCTATTCAAGGATTAAAGACATAAATATCTTTCTCCAGATTGTCCCTGCTTTTAGTCTGATTGTTAACTACTTCTAAAAGATTTCTTTCTGGGTTTTTTTTCCACTGAGTCTCCATGTAAATTGAGATAATTACTTTTGCATTAAATCCACTGTGGCTATGCCATGGCTTGAGTAGAACTTCATCTTATGAGTCAGCTTGTACATGGATTTTGGAAAGAATGATTTAGTTATTTTTGGGAAATGAACTGCTAAAATAACTCTTAAATTAAGGCTGCTCTGTTCAAAGCACACTCTGAAAATAAAAATATTAGTTTAATATTTCTTACAGTTTCAGCTGTCAGCACAAGCTGAAATGAATACTGATTTTTTTTTAAAAGGTCCAGGAACAGGAAACTAGTTTTACTATACACATACTGAGTCACCGGGACGCAACAACTCAGAATTTAATCACATATCCAGAAAGTTACAGAATTAAGAGAAGAAAAGAATTTGAGTTGTCAAATCCTTGTTTCCTAGAGTAAGGGCCCAGGTGGGTCCTCCATTCCACATTCACTTGCCCGATAGAAACTGGGTGGCAAGAGATGCCAGGTATTTTACCCTTCTCTTGAGTGGCTTGCTCAGGACCAGAGGAGGGAGTTTTCTAATCACTTTAGTAGGTAAGTGATCTCTTGAAAGTAGGAGTTTGTCCTAAATGTTGTAATTTTTGTTTAAGCCTGTCTTTGTAATAGGAGTTGCTTACCTTAAGTCCTGGAAAGCAAGAGATGTCAGGCTCCCTTCAGTTCCTGCTCTGGATGGGTTCAAGTTTCCTTCCCTCACACCATGGGATATCCTGCAGGGAGAATGTTGACAGGGAGAGTCACACCACAGCTGAGAAGAGTTTGCAAAGTTCCTGGGATCTGTGGGAAAAGGATCAACTATTTTTTAAGTCTTTTTTTAAAGCTAGATAGTAAGTGGCAAAAGTGCAGAGACATCCTGAAGCTGAGCAATGCAACTCAGATTCCTCTCTGCCCAGAGTGGACAACCTAGATTTCACCTATGTGTTTGCTTCTGGTTACCTCCAGGGTCTCCCTTTCAGGATCTTACCTGTGGTGTCCCAATTGCTGACACTGAGGCAGCATCACATCCATACAGGTTTGGAATGTTACAGAGCACCCAATTAGTGAAAATGTGAGCAAATATTTTGGGGGGAGGGTCAAAATATTGGACAATTGAGTGCCTCAATTATGGCTTAGTCTTTCCAGGTACAACACTGAGACCCCTAGTTCAGCAGTAATATACTCAGGCTTAATTGCACCACTGAGTTGAGGTTACTCACACACTGGTAGATGTCACCACCTAAGCTGTTCTTCCAATTGATGTGACATTTGTAGGTAGCAAAAAATCTCTTTAATTTAGTACAAGTGTGTGGTATAGTGTAAGAATTCAGGCAATGTTACATTAGTAGTATGGGCAACTGTCTTTCATAAGCCAGCAAAGGAGGATGGGAGGTGGATGAAAGATGTTTCAAGTGGAATGGTTTGGAAGGGAAGTAGTCATGTGCTGTCCTACTTTATCCCTTGTTGTAAGAATATGGTACAAGCCTGTTTTAATGCAAAGCGAGTCCCCTAACTCTTGTTCTGCTGCAGGCTTTGAAAGTGCAATTTGCCATGTCCCAGTTCTGTCAGTCATTGTGCTGGGAGCTGCTGGCGCTCTGTCATCACCAGCTGAGGGTCAGTCTGTGCTGAAACTGATATGGCCTGAAGTATTACACAATTATCCTTTTGTGGTGTTAAAATTGCTGGCTTCTTGGCATCATAGTCATGCTTTCTGACTGCACAGCTTAATCACCTGGAAAAATGGGAGGGGCAAACAAAGGTCAGGAGAACCTCCAAGCAGTTATGACACGAAGAGGAAAGTCTTTGTTTCTCCAGAATCCCTACAAGTAAAAATGGAAAAATGTTGTGTCAATAATAGCACAGAGGCATCTGCCCTCAGCTCCTCTCCTACTTCCTTGAAATGCCATGATGGAACAGATCAAAGTGCTTATGCTTCTATGCAATATCCCCAGCTCTGTCCAGTGCACAAGTGACTTTGGGTGTTCCCATTATTCTTTTTGTGCTTCTCTTCTGAGCTCTGAAATAGAGATAGTGTTTTCTGTATCCCTTGCCCTCTCTGTCTTTTACATTGCTGTCTTACACTGTGTGTGGCATAAAATGTTCCCTGCCCCAGGAGCAAGAATTGGTAGGTGGAACTGATACTGTTTTAGAGCTGGTAGTTCATACAGTGTTTTGATACTCTTTTAGAAAAACCCTCATGAGAAAAAATATGGTACAACTAAAGTCTATTTGCCTTATTTCATCAAATGTTAGCATTTGCTAGTATATTGCTATTGTATTTTGAGATCCTGTCCTGCAAGCACAGTAACTAAGTGGGATTAAGCCTTAGTGCTAATATTTAGAATCAGAATATTCTCAGTTGGAGGGGACCCATGAGGATCATTGAGTACAACTCCTGACTCCACACAGAACAACCTAAAAGTGAAACTACGTATCTAAGATCATTGTACAAATGTTTATTGAACAACAACAGGTTTGGGACCATCGCCGCTTCCCTGAGATCTTGTTCCAGTGCTTGGCCACACACTCAAGAACAAGCCCTCTCCTCTCCTCTCCTCTCCTCTCCTCTCCTCTCTATCTCTTTTCTTTTACCTTTTTCATTTTCCTTTTTTCTTTTTTATCTTTGTATTTTTTTTTTGCTTTTCATTTTTTCTTCTCTCCCCCATTTTTTATCTTTTTTTTTCTGCTTTTCCTTTTTTTCTTCTCCCCCCCCCTTTTTTTTCCTTTTTTCCCCCCTTTTTGTATTTTTTTTTTTTGTATTTTTTTCCATTTTCTCCCCGGTGCTTGTTTGTTTGTTTTCCCTGGTTTCCTTTCCCCCTGCTTGCCTGTCAGGCGGTGGCTGCCTGTGCCGGGAATGCCGAGCTCTTGGCAGGCTTTGCAGCGGAGCCGGGAGAGGGCGGCAGCGCGGCTCCGGTGCTCTCAGCCGCGGGAGAGAAACACCCCACCCACCCCGAGACCTGGAGACAAGGATAAATAATAATCAACCTAATTCCACTGTAGGGTTTGCCCACTTGTCGCTATCTGGCCTGGAACGCCAAACGCTGCAACACAAATGCTCGGCTCTCTCAGCTGCATAGGTCTTTAGCTTCTTCATTACCTTTGCGCTGGCCCGAGAAATGAAAGGAAATGATCCTGGGCAAAAGGCTTTTCTCACCAAGCATACTGTGCAATCCAATGGTCGTGCTGCTAAGGAGCTGACAATAATCGCGCGAGGAATGAAAATAAAACCCTTCTGCCACTCTTCTTACACCCCCTGAAGGAAATCACTTATCTGCGTTGGAAGATCAGCCCAGTCTTTCTCACCTATTTACAGCAAGAAACAAAATCTGCGGGTTGTCAGCCTGATTCACAAGCAGAAGAGATGTAGCAGGACAGGCCTCCTTCTCTAAGCCCTTTTAGAAAACACGTAAGTGTTTTGGTTTTGTAAGCTGTTGGAATAAATATATATATATAATGAGGGAGAGGATGGCTAAGTTTCTTTGGATGTGTGCTCTTTCAGCAGGGCTATAGCAATAGAAATGGCTGGGATCAAATCATGTGCTGCTACCTGAAGGCATCCCACTAGTAGGAGAGTTATTGGATGCGCTGAAATTCCTGCTGACCCCTCTGTTCCTCAATAAACCTGCACACAACTTCCTCTGGGGATGGGCCAAGTATTGCTCCATTAGTATGCAGCACCACAGTCAGCAGGGCAGGAAAAAATACACACCAGGAGGAGAGAAAAGGGATGAAAAGCAGCAGGAGCAAAGTAAATCTCTGGGGATGGGCCAAGTATTGCTCCATTAGTATGCAGCACCACAGTCAACAGGGCAGGAAAATACACACCAGGAGGAGAGAAAAGAGATGAAAAGCAGCAGGAGCAAAGTAAACGCTTTTAAATTCTGGACAGAAACTTCCCTCCACTGAGATTCCTGCAGGTCTCTGGTGTCATGACAAGATGTAAAATATTGTGAGGTGAGAGAAAAGTTGGTCCATTTACTCAGGTTCTGTTTCTGTTTAAAAAATGAAGCCTAGATTGGGAGGCAGGGAATTTTTTTTTTTTTTGTGATGGGGCTAGGAATCCAAAAATTGTGACAACGGACATGGAGCAACAATCCTAAAATCTTCTGAAAGTATTTTAATCCATAAAGCTGTTGTGAAAATGATCATTCTGGTTCTCTGTGTGGTTGCATATCCCTGGTGTTTAGCAGTGTGCTAGATGCTCCAGTCTGTTTGTCCTATATGCAGCAACATCTTCAGTTCCCAGACACTGCCTCACCTGGCAACCCTGCAGCATTTACATCAGCCTGGGGCCTGTCGCCAGACTTTCTCCTTCGAGTGCCACTACTGTCTCATCCCTGCCAAAAAATAAGGACACTGTGTTCAACTTACACCTATAAATATCATCTACATGAATTTATTTATATATAAATTCATTTATTTATGTGAAGGACAGTAGGTTGTTTAGCATCCAGTTTCTCGGGCAGCACAGAGTCACTGATCAACACAGACCCAATTTCAGCCACGTCCTCCTTATGGCCAGGTGGGCAATTAACACACACATTCATGCTTCTGCACAGCAACAGACAGTACCATGGCTGCACAGGAGTTTTATCTACACTTTTAAAAGCATTTTGTTTGCTTATCTATGGTTTTGCTTTTTACTAATGATAAATACCGAATAACAATGATAAAAAACAAATAACATTTTGTTCTGTATACCCTATTCCCATTCTGTCAAGCAAGCAAATATGGCCAGTATTAGAAGGCATTGTGACTTTCTGAGACAGAGGTGGCAGCAGCCTGCAATTCCTGCTCCTCTTAGCTGTCAAACATTAGACTACCAGCTTATTCAGGGAATAGTGTGCTGCATGGAGGCAGAAAAGATCCACAGATTTTCTCATTATATATTTGATTTACAGAATATATCCCACAGAGGCATGGGACTTTCTCCGAGAGTATTCCTTTCACATGATTGTTAACTTTATGGTGTCAGCTATAGACATTCTGCTTTAGTCAGGGCTCTCCATAACAATGCACCAAAATATGAGCTTAAAGATGATGGCAAACTCATTCAAATCCTCCCTTATCAACCACAAACAAGGTGTGGTGCATATGCTAAAAACGCAGCAGCAGGAAAGAGGAGAGTTAACTGTTAAAACAAAAAAAACATGTTAAGTGACACCTAATTAGTGCTAATCTCAATTTTCTCACTCTTTTTTTTTCTTCTTTTTTTTTTCTTTTTTTTTTTTTTTGTCCCCCGGAGCAGTGAAAGTTTTGGCGAGGAAGGCTAAGAGGGGTCAGCCTACTGCTAATTGCTTCTTGTTAAACTGGGTCACTGCAGTTGACCTCACTCAAATCTGTGTTGGGTTGACCCTGGCTGGGTGTCAGATGCCCACTGAAGCCACTCTTATCGCTCCCTTCTCAGCTGCACAGGGTAGAGAAAATATAATGAGGGGATTTAAGGAGAAGGAGAGATCACTCACCAATTAACATCATGAGCAGAACAGATTGGACACGGGTAAAATTAATTTGATTTATTACCAATCAAATCAGAGTAGAACAGTGAGAAATTGAACTAAGTCTTAAAAACACCTTCCAGATTCACTCCTGATTTTCTCCACCTTCTCCTGACAGTGCCCCAGGTTGATCTGGAATGGGGGTTTGAGGTCAGTTCATCACATTGTCTCTGCTGCTCCCTCCTCCTCAGGAAGAGGACTCCTTACACCCATTCCCTGCTCCAGTATGGGTTCTCTCCCATGGGAGATGAACTTCTCCATGAACTTCTGCAAAGTGAGTCCTTCCCATGGGCTGTAGCTCTTCATGAACTCCTCCAGCATGGGTTCCTTCCACAGGGTGCAGTTCTGTAGGAACAGACTGCTCCAGTGTGGGTCCCCCTCGGGGGGACCTGCCAGCAAACCTGCTCCAGGGTGAGTGTCTCTCTCCATGGGTCCCAGGTCTTGACAGGAGCCTGCTCCAGCACAGACTTCCCAAAGGGTCACAAGCTTCTTCAGGCACATCCACCTGGGCTGGAGGTGGATCTCTGCTCCACTGTGGACCTGTATGGGCTGCTGGGGGACAGCTGCTTCACCATGGTCTGCACCCTGCTCTGCAGGGAAATCTGGGCTCCAGTGCCTGGAGCACCTCCCTGGTCTCCTTCTTCACTGAGCTGGCTGCCTGCAGGGCTGTTTCTCTCACATGTTCTCACTCCTCTCTCCAGTTGCAGTTGCTCTTATGCAGTAAGTTATTTCCCCTTCTTATGTACATTAGCCAGAGGTGCTACTGCTGTCTCTGATGGGCTCCACCTGACAGTGTAACAAACAGGGCATTGTTCGAGTTCTTTTACCCACTCCAGGCAGACCATCCTGCTGTGTGTTCTACCCAATCTTTTGTTTGTTTCCTCAACTGTTTCCCTACTCACTAATCCGTGTCCTTGCAATGCATGTGAGCAGAAGATATATTTGAGATGAAATTTTCCTTTATACTTCTGAAATATCTAGTGATTGTATCAATAAGTAAAACAATTGCTTTCTGTCTGGAGTGAATCTATATAAATGATTAAATGCTCTAGAAATATGACTTCAGATAGAAATCCCGACCCTTCATTATTCCTCACCGCAAAATTCTTTCTCATATAAGCCTACAACAAAGTGCACAAACGCCAGCAATCTGTCTCTGGTAATAAATGAAATTCAGGTGACAAAATCAAATATAATTTATTTCTTCAGAATCATAAAATGATATGGTGGGTGCAGCAGGGTAGAGCCACGGTAATACACTATAGGCTTAAAACAACAGATGATATGGTAAAACAGGTAAAGATTACTTTATTTGGACTCAATGAAACCCAAATACCAATAAGCTTGCTGTTGCCAGCTTTATTGGTTTTGAATGGCTTGGATTTGGAAGCAGGGGAGTCTACAAGAGTGGCTTTTGTGAGAAGCTGCTCGAAGCTTCCATCATGTCCAGCAGAGCCTGGTGGCTCTAAAGACGGATGTGCTGCTGGCCAAAGCTGGGCCAATTAGAACCGGTGATAATGCCTCTGTGATAACACGTTTGAGAAGAAATCAAAACAAATGTTGCGCAGTTGTAATTTCAACCAGAGAACAGCAGAGTGAGAATATGTGAGAAGAACAACTCTGCAGACACCAAGGTCAGTGGAGAAGGAGGGCAGGAGGTGCTCCAGGTGCCAGAGCTGAGATTCCTCTGCAGGCCATGGTGAGGACCATGGTAAGGCAGCTGTGCCCCTGCAGCCCGTGGGGATCCACAGGGGATGCAGAGATCCACCCACAGCCTGTGGAGGAATCCCACACCAGAGCAGGTGGATACTGGAGAGGAGGTTGTGACCCCATGGGACACCTGTGGAGAGAGGGACCCTGCTCCCAGGCTGGAGCAGCCAGTTCTTGGATGACTGCAGTCCATGGAAGAGTGACCCAGGCTGCAGCAGTTTGAGCAGTTTGCATGCCCATGGGATGGACTCACATTGCAGCAGTTCCCAGGGAGCTGTTGCTTGTGAGGTGGACTCTCACTGGAGAAGTTCACGGAGAACTGTTTCCCATGGGAGGGATCCCACAGTGCATC